GCACAGAGCTGCAGTTCAACAATACAGGTAGGTCTATATATTCCCCATCCCTGCTACACGACTGTAACTTCCATCACAAGTGCAAAGGTAAGAAGCAGGGTCGCAACTATAAAAGTTCAGAGTTTCACAAAATTGTAGCCACATGGAAACTGTGACAATGCAAAATTCCCAAAATAGTTCAGAAGGAACTCTGATAGGGGAGAGTTTAGGTAACCAAAACTACTTTAAAACACCTAGAAATGACTAATCATAGATACTAGCTAAATCCTTTTTTTTTTTTTTTTTTTTTACACCCAAACAGCAAAGTCTAGGCAAACAGCCTCAGCAGAACTCCTTGATGGCTTAATATAGATAACCTTCACTAGAGAGAACAATAAGCTAAAAACAGGAAGAGATAATCCATATGGATAATAGTAAACAAAAAGAAACTAAGCCAGGACAGCTGGAATGCAACATTTCTGTCCAATCTGTTTACCATGCATATTAGAACAAATATCACATTTAATATGAACTGCACCTCAACAACGATGCTGCTACAACTCCACCCACCCGCCCACGGTATTTCTATACAGTTCCACATCTAAACAGATTCCTAAGTGGTGAGGTTAAAACAAATAAAATAATGAAATGCATTAAAATATTTAAAACCCAAATAACATGAAGACCATGACTGATCAGCAAGAAAGGCTTCCCAGAATAAGATTGTCTTTAGTAAGTCCCAAAACCAGAACCATGTTGGTGCCTGCCTGACTTCCAAAGGCAGAAAAGACCACAGAAGTGGACCCACCACAATAAAGGCTCCTCTCCTGGTAGACACCATTTGGACAACGGGTTCATGTGGAACCACCAGCAGAATGTCCTCCGAAGACCTTAGTGACCAGGCAGGTTGATATAGGAGAAGCTGCTCTTCAGGTCCCCTAATTCCAAGATGTTCAGGATTTTGGATAGTCCAATAACTAATAATTGGAGCAATAATAATTGGACTAATAATAATTGGTAGCCAGTGCAGCTCCTTCAGCAAGGGAGATTCATGCTGAAAAGAAGCAGCTCTTGGCAACAGTCAAACTGATACATTCTGAACTAACTTCAGCTTCTGGACCTGACTTAAGGACAGCCCCACGTAGAGCACACTGCAGTAATTTAGTCTTGAAGTTACAGATGCCTGTACCACTGTGACCAAGTTATCTTGTTAAGGAGAGATCATAGCTGGTAAACCAACTGGAGAGGTAAAAGGTGACAGCAATAGAGCTAAGAATCTCCAAAGATTATGAACCTGTTCTTTCAGGGAGGGTATGGAGCCCAAACCAGAAAAGGCAATTAGCCTATCTTCCTGGCTTGCGTGCCATTCTCACACAGGACTTCCAACTTGCCAAGGTTCAACTTCAGTTTATCAGCCTTCATCTAGCCCAACCTTCCCCAACTGGTGGCCTTCAGAGGCATTTGGAACACAACTCCCAGAATTCCCTCTACTGACTGGGAATTCTGGGAGTAGCAGTCCAAATGTGTTTGGAAAGCACAAGACTGAGGAAAGCTGATCTAGCCCATCTCCAAGTCTAGTTAGTGATTTAGAATTAGCAAGGCCTCTCCTGATTTATTTGTGTGTGTTGAATTTGGCTCCAAATTCCCTAGTGAGCATTCCCTGCTGCTTCAGATCTTAAATAACATTGGAGCTATTTAACCTGGTACCCTGGTAACCTACAGAACTCCATAGTTCAGTTGCCAGGGATTTGAGGAACTGTCACTCAGTGTTAATCTCTGGGACCAACTCCACAGATAAGATCAGAACCACCATAGCACAGTACCTCCAATACTCAAGCACAGAGCCAATCCAGGAAGATCCAGTGAGAGACTGAGCAGAATTAGCAGGGTCACACTCCCACTGTCTCTCCTGATGGAGGTCATCCATTCTGTTGACCAAGGCTGATTCAATTCCACAACCAGGTTAAAACCCAGACTGAAATCAATCCAGATACTAAGTCTACCTCATAGTGCCTACAGTTGCTCCATCACCACTCTTTTAAATACCTTCCCTAAAAAGGGAGAATTTGCTACTGGGCAGTAGCTATCAAATACCCTTGGGTCTTTTTCAGAACTTATTGCACTACTGCCTTCTTGAGGACAGCAGGAGCCACCCCTTCACCCAGTTAGATGCCCTTAGCTAGATTTATCAGCCAGGAAGGACACCATCAGTCATGCTACAAGTACGTTGCCTGTGTCATTGGAGCTCAGTAACTAAAACTGATCCCACAAAATTGGTCAGATACCTTGACTGGAGCTGCACCATCAAGTTCATTGTGGGACCAGCAATTTCGTCGTCAAACTGCAACGCTAAAATGGTCACTATGAGTCTTTGAAGCAGCCAGGACCCAATTCACTGGGGAGTGTTAACAGCTGCCAAACCACCCAGAAGAGCTCTGGAATCCAGAGGCGCCCTCAGCATGGTAACTGAAATCATCCAAGACACCATCCTGGGTTCCTCCAGTACCACACATGAGACCACCTCTGCCAACTCAGTCAGAGAGCATGCAGGATAACAGGATGGGTGGCACACACCAGCAGCATCCCCAATTTGTCTTCATGCTCCAACATTAGGTGCAATCTCTTAGGCTCAAAGGCAACGTGATTTCCTGGTGAAAATTATAGAAGTTAAGTGAATTACAGCAAGTTCCCCATCCCCCAGTCCATGATGCTGCTGCACCGAGTACCCACATAGTCAACCCTACCCAGCTCACTTACTGCAGGACTCAGGAATGCATGCTAGGTCAGTCAGCTCATCCACAATTAAGTTGGAAATGTGTGCAGTCTTCTTGTAGATTACCCTGGCATTTTATACCAACAATACAAGGCAGAAGGGCTCAGTGGGTGAGCTACCAGATACATGAGAAATAGAGGAAGAAGGTAGAAGGAGAACAGTGTATAAACATCTATAACCCGTTCTACTTTCATAGCCTAACGTGCCATATCTCTTTCTGCTCCAAGTCACTGGGATGGCAGCACCATCTCCATGGGGCCTTCTATCAAACTCTTCCATGTACATCTTGCTGCACCAGAAATTGCTATACATTCAGTATTCATCCACAGTGCAAACCACTCAAGCCATTCATCAACTAGTCATCCACAATCCAACTAAACACAGTCAAACATTTGAAGTGCTGGGTATGACCAGCCACTCACCAATCACAGACAGGACATCCAACCTTCCAAGTCACTAGCAGCATAAATGACCACCTCCTCCAGATCATCCACACCCACACTTGGAGTGTTCCTGATACTACTCCTCTCTGTCTTTAACCCAGAGAGAACCCTGTTTCTGTCTACCACAGACTCCCACTCTGGACAGAAGAAACAACACAAATGCAAGCTCTTTAACCCTGCCTCTCATACAGGGAGTGCAGTAGTTCCTAAGTCCATGAACCACCTCCCACTACACTGTGAATCTAAACACATAACAATGCAACACAAACATGCAGTAAAGAATGCTGGGAGTTGAGGGACTAAGATTTTCTGTCTAAACATGCACAGAATTGTACCCTAAAGACACAGATTTTAAACTGAGAAGTTAGTGTTCTACAAAACAAAGGACTGTTCTCCTGTGCCAGCTTTATTTGGATTCAGATGAATAGTTCTGTGCTTAGGAGCACAGACCCCATCTTTATCTTGGTTATTTTTTTAGTCTCACCTTCAGTTTGCCTTCTAGAAAATGTGTGTTTTGTGACCAGCCATGGCCACCATGACTGCCAGTTTCAGCATGGGCAAGCCTCACCCCTATGGCAGCCATTTTGTGGGTGCACCCACAGCATCCTAAAACTTCCAAATGTATATACTGACCCAAAAAGGTTGGACCTCCTAACCATGAGAAAGCAAGCCCCTATCAGTTTGGAAGAGCCTAAATGCTAGTGGATAAATTAAGTTTCTCCAAGCAATTCCTCAAAGCAGTTCTTCCCTTTTCCCTAACAGAGGGAGAAAAAAACAGATAAATATAAAATTTCAGATGGGTGAGAAGGAAAATGACAACTCCCCTCTTTTTTAGTTGCCTATGAAAAGCAGACACATAAATACAAAAAGATGTTCGTTTCCGCTTGTTTTAAAATTGCAAACAGTCAAAGAACTACAGAAAATCTTGGCATATCCATCCTTTCTAGTTATCAAAGTATAAAGTTCCTCATATGCTGGGCCCTAGAGCTAAGTTAGGCTTCTTAACCTCTGCAGCCTAACTAAGACCAAAGATGTCATACAGACATTTCAGTGCAGTGATTCTCCCACATCTAGAGCAGCCTTTCACAACCTGGTCCCCACCAGGTATTTTGGACTTCACCTCTCTGAATAGCAGTTAAGAACAAATCTACTTTACCATATCTATATTATGTAGGACACACAGCAAGATATTCTTACAGCAAAAATCTCTCCATGGCATTAAATAAGATGAGGAAAAACACTGCGGAGCATCCAATCCTTTTAGATGCCCAGGAAGCTGAAAACTTAAACAGTGAGTTCTAAGTTCTAATCTTGCTTCACAATAAGCCTTAGGCGAGCAATCTTTTCCAGCCTTATCCTTCAATCTACAACAGAAAAGTAGTACTGGCCTATGTTACACGGATGTCGCAAGAAGTACAAGACAATGCTTGAGTATTTTGAATACTGAAGCAATACTGTATAAATGCAGCATATTATTAGTGCTATAGCTGCATTAACACAAAAACGAGAAAAGAACTAGCAGGCAAGGCAAATGAACTGGGAATATGCAAGGTGAACCTTTTAATATTTACTCAGAAATAGCCCTGCTAGACTGAATGGGCTTTACCCCAGGCATGCACCGGATTGCGGGTTAGGCAAAATGGGGAGCGGGGTGGTGGTGGCGGGGAGAGAAACAGCCTTAAATCCCACGGCCGTCTTCTTGGGAGTAAGCCCCGCTGAGCACCGCGAGGCTTACTACCGAATCAAGGGAGACAGGATGAAAACACAGACAGGTAAACATCCAGAACTTAAGCGGCGTCACCTACCTTCGATGGCGATGACGTGCTCCCGTATCTGGTTCTGCAAAGCTGGCTCCTCCACCCGCTCCAGGAGCTCGTAAATGGAATAGATGTTGGGGTGAACGGACTCGAATCGCTGGATCTCCGCCCGGATGGCCGCCGAGTTGGCCAGCTGCTGCTGCTGCTGTTGGTGGTGCGGGTAGTTCATGGCGGGGGCGGCGGGGAAGCTCCAACGACCGCCCCCACCAACGCAGTGACCGACAGACCGACCACCCGCAAGGCAGGCGGCCAGGACCAGGCAGCTGCCCGCCCGTCAGACCGCCAGCCCGCCTACACCAAGCCCCGGTGCTGTCAGTCCATCTTCAGCCCGGTAAAGGAGGCCAAGAAGAGCAGGAAAGGGCTGGGCACAAAGGCCCACCCCCATGGAGAAGAACCGGACAGGCACCGACGACGCTCCCGCCCCCCCGCACCACGACACGGCTGAGCCTCGGTAGCCGCTGCTGTGGCGCGGCCAGCGCAATCGCAGAAACTCCGCGACGAGCCGGACCCCGAGCGGACCCTCCCCGCCCAGCGAGCCGACCAACCGCAAGGCCTCCGTGCACGGCGCCCCCGCCCCCTTTGCGTGGCGACGCTACATGCCCACCCGCTGGAACATGCAAGGCCTACGGAGAGCGGGATCAGTTGAGGAAAGGGCGCCCGCAGCTTGCTGGGAAGCGTAGTTTTCATGGAATCCGCTCATTGCGACAATTTCCTCCGAGCCTTTCCGCGGCTCTGACGTCGCTGTCCTCGATGCTTCCCAAAGGCGCTGCCGTTGCAATATGTTCACGGGTCAACGTGCCCCATGAACGGCGGGACAAGGTAGACTGTCCTTCCGCCCTCGTTCTCTTGGACCTTGTGATTCCTACTGCCTGCAGGGCGATACTGCACGGGCTGGCAGAGCCCTTGTCTTTCATTAGTCTGAATGGAAATTGGAGAAGGGTGCAAATATCTAGATTCTTGGGGTGGCTTTAATTATCCTAACACGTTTTAGAAAAGCATGCATCTTTCCCTAGGTTTGCAGAGCCACAAAACAGGAAACCTTTTAATGTGGCCAAAGTGCCAGAGGTAGCCAAGCAACCTCCCCTTTAATTAATTCTCTAATACTCTCCTTCTTAGACCCAAAAGGTGAAAAGAGTAGCTTCCTGTTTACCTGTCACTCACTGATAAAACTTGTCCGGCAGTTACGCCTGCGAAACTTGCAGCATGGTTCTTTATTCTTTTGTCACTGAAGTCAAAGGAAATTTAATGTGATCACGCATAGCTCTGTTTTCTACACGAAGCACGCATGGCTCCGATTCGCATTGGGACCGAATTAAAGCTTCCCCGCTCCCAGTTTTCATCCAGAAATTCGATCCACCCCCGCAGGAAAGTTTAAAAATATTTGTATTGGCTCCATGGAGCCTTTACACACGCGCCCTGGTGCGCGCGCCACTCTCCGCACCCCCGCGGGAGGGGGAATTTCGACATGAGGAAGGGTGAGGTGAGCAAGCGTAGCCCTGTCCCTGAAGCGCTGTGGTGCCCATCTGAAAGGGGGCTGAATGCGCTTACTCTGGAGTAAACCAATCATGCATAGCTCAGTTGTGCATTGCGAGAATGTTCAGCCTGGCCACGCGAAGGTGCTGTACAACCCTCCAGGTGATTTCCGCATTGTGACTATTTTACCTCAGAACATTTTTCTGAGGGGAATAGCAGATGTTCTCTTAATTTCTCGCATCCATTCAATAAATATATTTTAATACAGACCTTAGGTTTGCGCATAGGTTTCTGGAGATAGCAAGAGAAGCTTCTCTCGTGACCTGCCTTTTTATCTGTGCATACATATTTGTGCCTGTTGGGAAAAGCGAGGAGAGCAGGTTGCTTGCCTGTGGTGACACGTCTCAAGTGGACCAGGAAGATTTCTAGTGTGTGGTTCTGCCATTTCTCTTCCTGGGCTTGGAGGTAAAAGGAGGTGGGTCAGGATTCGGCCAAAGAGATGGAATTGTGCATCACAAGGCTCTGGTGGCACACCAAATCATCAGAAGCCCTTCTAGCTCCATCCCCTTCCCACCTGTCTGTCTGTCTGTCTGTCTGTCTGTCATTTTTTTCTCCTGGTGCCACTAAATCCTGCCCATCAGATTTATTTATTGCTATATCCAGAAAGACCATTTTACTTCTCGGAATTGATGTGTGTGAGAGAGGTGGGGGAGAGATTTTAGAAACAAAGTCTCCTTGTTTAGATAAGAATCTGTAATAAAATACTAATTCTGTGGGTATGTGGAGATAAGTGATGCTTAAACTGTAGTTTATGGTTGTTCTGACTTTTCCTGGCACAGGATCAATATAGCCTTATTTAATCTATGTTGGTGTTTACTTCCTGTGGAACCTTTGGCAGGCAGTCTTTTCTGCCAGTTGAACAATGTTGTCTGTGAAATGATAATGGGCTGGCAAGAGCAGTGGTATGATGCACAAGAGGAAAATACTGTTGCCACGGAGAAAGAATTGTTAATGAATTCACAAGCACCTAGTTCAAGCATCTCTTTGTCCATTTTCCACAGTTAGATCCCCAATACAACAGGAGAGTGTCATAACCATGTCTTTGGAGATCCTCCTCGAAAGTCTATATAAAGCATGCTATTTTACAGAACAGCCCTAATCCCATAGGAAGCAACATTTGGTTTCAGTAAAATAGGTCACTGGGAACTCATTAGTGCTAGAACTGTTGGATTCAGTTGAAGTAAAAGAGATTAACTCACACATGAGAATTTACAAAACAAAAGAAGGATATGTATGTTTGCCACAAGCAGCTTTCTTGCCCCATTCAGGCATTTGCACACACAGCTCTTAACAAACATTTGCCCTAACTTTGATCAAGAAAAGAACAGGAGGAACTGTTCAATGAGAACTACAAACCTTTCTCTTAGTCCTCTACTCATTTGAACAGGCGAAGACTGTCAGTATTAAATTGCTTTACTGCTACGAAAGACATAACTGGCTGAAAGTGAATATGCTCATTCTGCCCCCCCCCCCACTGCCCCCACTGGACTCTTCATACAATTCCATTCCTGTCATGATGGCAATGCACAACCAGGATGGGAGCACTGAGCAGAGGAACATGTGGTCTTTTTCCTATCTAGAGGCAACGATGGTATAACTGTAATAGTTTATCACATGCCTATGAATGTAAATTGGTATTGAATCTGCAGAAGATGGGCTCCAGTGGTTTTTATTAAATTACTGGCATTTTCATTGAATAGATCAATGAAAAGTTGCCCCTTTGAAAGTTATATGTCAGTTTATTTTGTTATATTCAAAAGCATCATTGGGTTACCAAGGGTAGACAGAAGGTTGATTAGAATGTTCTAGCAGAGTCTGAGTGATTTACAGTACATCAGTAGGAGTGGCGGCATGGGTGGGAAGTGGAGCAGGTGACATGCGCTCCTCAGGACACGCCCCCAGGGCAGCCCTTCCGAGATGAGACCAGACTTAGCTTTTGTGTGTAAAGCAATGGCAGTGCACTCACCAAGCACTCTTCCAATGCAGTACAGCACAGCAACCAGGCAGGAGTGCCAGGCATGGTTATGCCCATAGCTGCTGTTGCTGTAAGTGGCTGCACTGTCACCAAAATTTAAAAGCTACAAGTGGGCATCCGAGGGCAGCATGTGGAAAAAGGGAGAAGGAGCACAGAGTGACTAATCAGAGTGCTACTGTCTGCAAGGAAACAAGAACTTGGACCGAACTGTATGGAAGAAACATAAAAACCACACAGAAGCATGGTTTCTGTTTTCAGACATAAAAACAAGCCTTGGTGAAGCATGGACACCATAAAGCAGACTGTTGTTTCTTTGCAAGGTTTCATTGCAACCAACCATAACATGCTTCAGCATGAATGCTGGGTTCAGGCATAACAACAAGTCTTCCACCTATGAAAAACCAAATGCATTGATACAAGATGGAGGATACATAGTTCAACAGAACTGAAAAAGGCATAGACCTTGGAGTCATTGTGGACAACAGGCTAAATATGTGCCAGCAATGTGAAGCAGTCACAAAAAGGGCAAATGCTATATTGGGGTGCATTAATAGAAGTATCACTTCTAAGTAATCAGAAGTAATAGTTCCCCTATACTCCTCACTAGTCAGACCTCATCTAGAACACTGTGTCCAGTTCTGGGCACTAAGATTTAAGAAAGATGCATACAAATGAGAAAGGCTCAAGAGGAGGGCAAAAAAAAATGATCCAGGTTCTGGCAACTTTGTACTATGAGGAGAAACCGTTCAGTCTTTAGAAGAGAAGACTGGAGGCAGGGGCTTGGTATTACTTTCTAAATACCTGAAAGGCCCCCTTAATGGATCACTGCCATGTTGTGGCAAAGGGGCTTGTGTAGCGCAATTAACCTATGAGCTATGCCGTGCAGGGGCACCCAGGACAGGTCAAAGCAGAGAGCTCTGACAAAACATGATCCACTGGAGAAGGAAATGGCAACCCACTCCAGTATCTTTGCCATGAAAAGCCCATGGACAGTACCAAAAAGCAAAAAGATATGATGCCAGAAGATGAGCCCCTCAGGTCGGAAGGTGTCCAATGTGCTACTGGGAAAGAGAAGAGGGCTAGTACTAGTAGCACCAGAAAGAATGAAGCAACTGAGTCAAAGCCGAAAGGACACGCAGTTGCGGATGTATCTGGTAGTGAAGGAAAGTCCAATGCTGTAAAGAGCTATACTCCATAGGAACCTGGAATGTAAGATCTATGAATCAAGGTAAGCTGGACATGGTCAAACAAGAGATGACAAGACTGAACATCGACATCTTAGGAATCAGTGAACTAAAATGGACAGGAATGGGTGAATTTAATTCAGATGACCAGCAGGTATCTTATTGAGGGCAAGAATCCCTCAGAAGAAATGGAGTAGCCTTCATAGTCAATAAAAGAGTAGGAAAAGCAGTACTGGGGTACTATCTCCAAAATGACAGAATGATCTCAGTTGAGGGTAACTGAGGGTAACTTTAGATTACTCCACTCAGCAATTTCATGTAGATGTTGAAAAGCATGGAGGACAGAACAGACCCCTAAGGAACTCCATGCTGGAAAATCCATGGGACTGAACAGTATTCCCAAGTACCACCTTCAGGAGATAGCCCTCCAAGTAGGAGCAATGTCACAGCAGTGCCCCCCATTCCCAGCTCAGACAGTTGCCTCAAAAGGATACCATGGGTGATGGTATTGAAAGCTGCCAAGAAGTCCAGGAGTTTCAACAGGGTCACACTCCCCCTGTCTCTCTTCTGGCATCGGTTACAGGGCAAGCAAGGCTGTTCCCATGTCAAAACCAGGCCTGAACTGCAACTGAAATGGAGCCAGACAAGCAGTGTCATCCAGGAGTGTCTGGAGTTGACTGGCAACCACCCTCTCCAGAACCCTGTCCAGGAAAGAAATATTTGCTACTTGTCTAAAGTTATTGAGGTCTTCAGGAGAGGACTTTTTTGGAAACATTCTTACTGCTTCTCCTTTCAGGAGGTTTGGAACCGCTCCCTCTCACAAT